AGGCTGGTGAAGGGAGAAGGAAAGGTCACGCGATGCTCCCAGCAGCTCCACACTCCTAATCATCCCATGTAGTCTCAGGCGGACCCTTCACGATACTCATTACTTTCCTCATTCTCAGAAACACATTTCTCACAACTACTCAAAGCTCAGCGCCTCCAGTGCCATGTTTCCCTCTCCCTGCCCTGCTGCAATCTGCCTCGTCTCATCCACTATTCCCTGGAACAGCGCTCACCATGGCCACCAGTTATGCCATAGTCCCCAATCCAAGAACACCCTGGCACATAATATCACGTGGATACAAGAACATTTCCAGCCCCGTTCCTTTTGCCTCCTAGTATAAAGGCTGGAAGAGCGAACACCCACTTTCTCAGCCCCCTTTGTAAGTAAAGTACCCAGTTCTAGCCATTAAGATGTAAGGGGAAGTCCTTGGGGGCTTCTGGGAAAGAAATTATTCCTTCCTGGTAAACGGCGAGAGAAGGGTGTGCTGGTATTATTCTCCCTTCTTCCCACCTTGAACATCAATGTAATGCCTGGAGGTGAAGTAGCCATAACGTGGCCATTAGGTGACAAAACATTTGAGGACAAAAAAATGCTAATGGCTCATATAAAGAAGATAGAAAAGTCTGGATTCCTTGGGTACACTGTTGAGCCACTGAAAGTGTTCTGGAAACATCAAACTCCAGATTTCTTGATATGACAGAAAAATAAACTACTTATTTAAAGCATGGGTTTTGTTACTTGCTATTAATCTATGAATTTGTTACTTGCAGCAAGAAGTGTTCCTAACAAATCCAGATGCTTTTCAGTCATTAGTTATTACCTGCCTGCCAGCTGAGCACCCTCCTTCTTTAGATACTTCCCTTGGGTTCAGCCATTTCCTACACTCTCCTGGTTTTCACTCTATTTCTCTGCTGGTTCTTTCTCAGTCTTCTTTGTAAGACTCTAACCCAGGCCCCATCCTTTATATGCTGGGGCTTCTCAGTGCTCTGTAGGAGGACATATTTCCTACAAGAAAAGGAAATTTGGACACAGACACACACAGAGGGAAGACCGTGTGAAGACAGAGAGAGAAGATAGCTATCTACAAGCCAAGGAGAGAAGGCTCAGAAGAAACTGACCCAGCTGACACCTTGATCTCAGATCTCTAGCCTCTAGAACAGTGAGGAAATAAATTTCTGTTGTTCAAGTCACCCAGTCTGTGGTCCTTTGTTATGGCAGCCCTAGAAACTGACAGAGTGAGCCACTTGGAAGTGGATTCTGCAGCCCCAGTCAAGCCTTCAGATGACGGCAACCTTGGCCAATATCTGACTGTTACCTCATGAGAGACCCTAGGTCAGAACTACCAAGTTAAACGACTCCTAAATCCTGATCCACAGAAACTGTGTGAATTAATAAATGTTTATTCTTAAGTTTCTAAGCTTTGTGATATTTTGTTAGGTAGCAAAAGATAAATACAGTAAATTAAAAAGAAATAATTAAATTAGTAATAATTAATTCTATTTAATTGATAAGCTCAGGAAAAAATACCAAATGCTATTCAGAACTCAATCTGATATTACGAATGCCATCTGATTTTGAGGCCTATTGTTTTAAAGAAATAATAAGCTCTGCTCTGTACCCATCTTAATTTGTTTTAAACTTTTAAACTTTAAAACCATCCCAAAGATTACCTTCAGTTTCAGCCCAAATGCATTACGCATAAAAAGCAGAAAACATATTTTTTTGTTCATCAATGTAGCTGGATAGAACAGAAAATTAATATACATGAGATTAGCAGAATATTCCTTTTTGGTCATTTTTTTTCCCAGCATGGGATTCCACATTAGCCAAAGCAGCATGGCATCTAAACTAGACCTTTCTTTGTGCTTATATATTTTCTCAAGCAGACAAAGAAAAATGAACATCAGAATTTCAAAAGTAAACTTTGCAGTGTCGCACACAGTACCTTTTGATGGCCACCAGCTCCCCAGACTCGTTACTCTTGCCCATAAGCACACTCCCGTAGGTGCCATCCCCCAACTGTCTCATGGTTGTGTAGCGGTTCATCTTGGAAAAATAATGCAGCAGAAGTTGTTGACTGAAATGACTTCCTTGTTGAATATAATTTAAATGCGTTATTTCTATTCGTTTTTGTCCTCTCACTGCTGGTGCTACACTGGTGACAGGTTTGTCATCATTAAATAAAGTCTCTTCCCCAAGACTATGTAGGTTCATGAGATACAGCAATAAGGAATCTGGCAGGGAAACACCACTTCCATTCCTATGAATACCCTATAAAAGAAAAAAAAACAAAAATAAAATGAATTTTCTTTAAAGAGTCTCTTTAAAACATTTACTGGCCACCAAGAGCACAAGGAAAAAATATAAATAATGTAAATACCAATGTACCAGTAAATAATGTAAATGCCTTTGTCAGTAAATCATTTGTGCTATGTGGAATGTAGTTCACATATAACACACTGATAATATTCATTTGGTGAATACTTCATTTACAGGGTTCTGTGCTATTTACCCCATGAATGTCTAATATTGGTCTAATAATTCATATGATTCCTTTTATTTAATATAAACTATATTATTGCAAATGAGACCTTGAAAAATATGACATCTATATACTATATCCATTCTTTGAATCAATTTTTGCATATTTAATTTAGCATATTAAATTTAAAATTGTACTCTGTAAAAAATTCCCTGTAGAATATAAGTTCCCCAATTATGAAAGGTAAATATAAAGCAAACTTTCATTTCATATGAAGAGGATAGCATTATAAAAGAACATCATATCCTATTTAAATAATATACTACTTTATTGGATGTCAAACGAAGAAAAAAAATTTTTTTTTTCCTTTTTGTCTTTTTTACTGACCGGTAACGGGATCACAACC